ATGTGGAGAGCATCCACAAACATCATTAACATTGCTGTAGGAAACTATTGGCTAGATGGCTTGTAAAGAATGTGGAGAGCATCCGCAAACATCAATTGACATTGCTGTAGAGAAACTATTGGCTAGATGGCTTTGTAAAGATGTGGAGAGCATCCACAAACATCAATTGACATTGCTGTAGAGAAACTATTGGCTAGATGGCTTTGTAAAGATGTGGAGAGCATCCACAAACATTAATTGACATTGCTGTAGAGAAACTATTGGCTAGATGGCTTTGTAAAGATGTGGAGAGCATCCACAAACATCAGTTGACATTGCTGTAGAGAAACTATTGGCTAGATGGCTTTGTAAAGATGTGGGTCTATCATTACAACCCAGCAAATATACATCACTTGAAGGATCCCATTGCAACAGAGGCTCGGGTATTTCCTAAAGATATGTCGAGGATAAACACAGAAATCGACACTGCTTGTTGTATCTTTGAATAATTGCTGAAATGTCATCCCCTAGCGATATTGTGGTATGTTAAGGCAAAACTGAGTAAATCTCAGAGTATTTGCATATGTTTACTAAATAACTGGAGGTTCAACAAGGTATTTATATCAAAATAGTACAGATTCTCCTAGTAACTGAATTTAGGAATGAAATTAAGAAACTGGAAACAGTATGATGAACATTAAAACTCTTTAAAAAAAGGAATACCCTTTAGCACAGATGCAAGTACATACTCACAGAAATAAAATCTTAATATAGGAAAACCTTTTAACAGTAATGTAGAATCCAACTAAAATTTAACATAAAATACAAAGCCTTTACTAAAGAAAAATACATGAAGACAACACTTGAAATGGTGGTCATGATACACAATTCAATTCAATTCACCAAATACAAAACAAATCCTTTATAAAACTATGGACAAAGTTTAAACAAAATACAAACTAGAGAATCAATATTTCAATACAAACTAGAGAATCAATATCTCAATACACATCAATACAATACAAATCATCAATAAATAAGAATAATAAACGAAAATATATATATAATATATCCTTCATATATTAAATTTGTGTTTGTTTCTAATTATGCACAAAGCTACACAATGGGCTATCTGTGCTTTGCCCACCACGGGTATCGAAACCCGGATTCTAGCGTTGTAAGTCCGCAGACATACCGCTGTGCCATTGGGGACATATATATTAAATAAAACTCATTTTAAAAAAATATGAAAAACACATAGTACAACATGCTAAACAATTGAAATACAAAATATACCTTTTAAAATAAATTACAATATTAAAACTTTCAAAAATACAGCACAAAAAGAAGGAAAGATAATAACCAAAATAAAAGAAAGATGCCGAGGTACCTATAATATATAATATACAATACATGCACACATATAAATAAACAAAGAAAATTTTTACAAAATGGACACACTTGGCCAACAGAAAGCACAAGTTCCAATTCCCTTACCTCAACCCCATCAACAGATCCTCTACAATGACATTTGACCATTTACTAACTGGTAATGGCATGAATAGTATATTGAGCATTTTTCATCTTCACCAGCTCCTGGATAGATAATGAAGTTTTTTCCTCCAGTCAGGATGATGTGGTATCCTTAGATGTAAATAGTTCTTCTTAAAGTTATATAGGACCCAGGCTTTTGTCTAGTCTGTTGCCATCTTCTGACAGCACTGCTTCAATATCTGTATGTGCTAAGGGATTAACTTCACTGGTGATGGTGTTATATTTGTATGTTGGCAGGTTAGCTCTTGGTTGCCGTTGTGGTGATTTGTGGGACCTCTTGCTTTTAATCATGATGCCTCTGGTCATCACTGTAACTGTAAATTGAACCTTATCCTTTAGTGCTAAAACACTTCCCTAGAGCCAATTTGGCTGTAGAAATGTCTTGTCGAGTTTCTAGATGTGGTGGCCCCACCACTAGTGTGCACACATGTAGTGGCATTTCTTTGAGGTGGTAAAGCATCTACTAACTGGGCACTCGATTGCTCTCATTGATTAGATTATTACCAGGACCCTTTCTTTACAGGAGCTGGACAAAGTGTTAGGAACATCATCTGCCTTTGGATTACTTTTTCAGTAGTGTTGGGTCTGCTGGTTTCTCTGCAGCTAGTGCCATTATGGTAATGGTGGTTTCCGATGACTGGTGTACAATCAACTGGAGCTCCCCAGCCCAAGAAGACCTCTGTTGTAACCTAACAACTGACACAGTGAG